AATCTTATTTGTGAAACAGAAAGAATGAAACCCACCCCATAGCACATAGTAAAGATTAAATGAAAAATTGGAAAAAAAATAAGTAAAATCTAGTCTAACATAATGGCTTATAAAGATGACCTAAAAAAAAAGGAAAGAAAGAAAGAAAGAAAGAAAGAAAGAAAGAAAGAAAGAAAGAAAGAAAGAAAGAAAGAAAGAAAGAAAGAAAGAAGAAAAAACCACACTGGCAAATCTGGGGCCCAGGACAATGCTGCCACCAGGAAGCAGCAGTTGCTGGTGTCTACCTGGCAAGATCCAGGTTAATTGGCCTTCGATGTGTCCTGAGCATGTAGGGTCGCTGAAAAGCTCCCCAGGTGGTTCTCTGATGTAGTCGGGTAGCTTCGCCCTGTTAAGAATAGTTAAAAGCAAAGACAACTTCAAAATGATGGCTTTTAGATCTCTGTTTATCTCCATGGCTGCAGTCGACAGCTTGGATTTCGCTTCCATGAGGCTTAAAAAAAGAAACAAAATCAGTGAATGTGTGAAAGTGGGGCTTGAAATAGCTCCCGGAGAAGCTTGAATCAACACGAGAGAGAGTATAGATGAAAAGATGAACACGATTCTCCTACTGTCTGGTTTTCTCTGCCGAACATGAAGTCATCACCTAACCTAGATACGGCATTTTGACTTCCTTTTTGGGGTGATCCACCTTGTGGCAATCTCTCCCACTTTTGTTAAGACTTGGGCAGTAACACACGTGTGAATGTATTTCAATCACACAGAGGAGGAACATGTTCGTGGTAATTGTGAAGACCGCATGTGCCCTACACACAGGTCACTACACCTCTATCCTTGTGAACCCCAGGCAGCTTTCTGTTCCTTTGTCCTTTGACATTTCCTGACACATCTCCAAGGTGTCCCAACCTTCAGTTGTAACCTCATGGCTACTGGAGTGGATTTCAGATTCAACAATTCTTCCTCATTAGTTTCGTGTATTTCTTCTTTAAAAAGCTACTGGAGTCAGGCCTCACAGTGCTCAGATATTGATTGAGTGACTGAGTGAGCCCGCACAGGATGACCCTTTCTTGAGACACCTCTTTGCTGTGTGTGAACTTGTCAGTAAATGAAGGGGAAAACATTTGTCCTCAACCCTTGTTTATAAACTAGAAACAGCCACCTGCAGCAGTTAGCAACAGCCACCTGCTGGTCAGATCCAGAGGAAGGAGGAAATGCCCCAAAGCTGTTCCAGTTAATTCAGAGGTCCCCAAGACTATGACTTTAGTTCAATGTGCATTTTACAAAAGTAAAGCCATATTTCTTAGTTCTCTCGAATTGTTTTTGACTTGCTATTGTAATTCTAGTCTTATCTTTTATTTTATTTTTAATTTTGTAAGATTTATTTATTTCTATTTTATGTATGTGAGTGTTGATCTGCATGCAAATCTGTGCACCAAGTATGTGCAATACCTGCAGAGGTCAGAAGAGGGCATTGAATCCTCTGGGACTTGAGTTATAAGTCTGTGAGTCACTGGGTAGGTGCTGGGAATTGAACCCGAGTCCTCTAGAAGAGCAGGAGATGTTCTTAACAACTTACCCATCTTTCCAGCCTCTATGTTATTTTTATTTGCTTTTAGTAGGTTTTCCAATCCCATTACTTTAAAAATTGTATACTTTAAAAAAGTTATCTTTTTGAAAAAGGTGTCAAAATTGGTTATTATGCTTGAAAAGGTCTCATGTTTCCTAAGCTGGTCTTGAATTTACTATGTAGCTGAGGATGACCTTGAACTTTTGATCCTTTCTCTGTACCTGAATAGTGGGATTGTAGGCATTTGCTACCATGGCCAGTTTGTTCAGTGCTAGAGATTAAACTTGGGGCTTTGTATACTCTACCAACTGAACCACATTCCTAATCTGAATGTGTGAAAATTAATTAAAAAATTTTGTCTTCCCTCCAAACCTCAATTCTGTCATAACTCTTATACCCCTAATACCTAGGGAATTGATTGGAGTTACATTAACTGATAGTTAGCTTTTTATTGGAATAGGAATTGGATGAATGCATTGACTCTTACCAATCACCAATTTGAAGTCTTTCCACATCTGTTTCAAGTCTTATCTCCCACAGGAAAAGGCTTACATCTTCTCAAGTCCTATATTCCTAATTATATGAAATTAGTCCTTTATGTATAAGGACTTTCATGTCCTTTTGTTTTTTTCATTCATTAATTCTTTCCTTTCTTTTTCCTTTTTGAGGATCTCAGCCATGTAGTTCAGGATGAACTAGTACTCACTATGTAGCCTAGGAAGGACTCAAAATTTCAGCCATCATCCTGCTTCATCCTATTGAGGTCTAGAATTAAATGCCTGGTTTGAGTTAGTCTGCTTACATCTTCCCTGTGGACCGGGCCCAAGGACTCTGACTTCAGTTGTATGGCTCCTCACTCAGTTGAAGGAGGATGAGGGAAGACACTCTTCATGTTACAGATTACATACAGGTGCCACCAATGAGATGAGGTGCCTCAGGTAAGGTGGGTCTATTCCTGAACCTAGATGGAGGCAGGACTATCATAAACCACCCATCAGATGGAAGAGAAGACTTCCCAGGAAGGACCATGGCGAGGTCTGTCTCTCTCCCCAGGCTTTTCAATGAACTGAGGCTGCAGAGGGGCCAACCGTTTCAACTGTCTAAAGGGGAACCGTTCCCTTACCTTCTGAGAATATACTGTACAGTTGAGACTGAGCTCAAGGGGGCAAAATATGGAAATGATGAGAGCATTACTGGGTACACCCCTGTGAGGGAGGAAACACTGGGCAGAGGTTTTGGCTGGTTCAATTTTCCAGAAAGAAAATAAAAGTTAAGGGGTTGGGGTGGTATTGAAGTTGGTAAAGTATTTGCCTTACTAGCACAAGGGACATGAATGTGAATCCTAGGACCCCCGCCCCCATAAAAAGCTGGATATGGTGATGTGTGGTTTCAACCCTAGTGCTGGGGGCAGGGCTGGGGGCAGGGCATAGCCATGCGGTTCACTGGTAGTCAGCCTTGTCCTCGTGGCTGTCTCTAAAAATGGTGAGGCTGCCTGCCTAAGAGTAACACCCAATACTGTCTTCTGTGCACACATGTGCACATGCACTTGAATACACACACACACACACACACACACACACACACACACACACACACGCACGCACGCACGCACACGTCAAATCAAGCCATTGTATTTCATATTGAATTCTTTATTTTACAGTGCTGCAGATCCATACATGCTCAATCACTGAGCTACCCACAGCTGTGAATATATCAAGAAAAAAGCTCATTTATCTGGGGGATTTGTCATGTGTCCTAGGAAGGTCAGCGATAGTAGTTCTTCATTTGAATCTCTCCCCTTTTCAGTAGAAGTGAACTCAAATCTTGCATTGTTTAAAACATTAGCCTATTTGTTTTAAATAGATAGCTGTCTGACCTAAATTTATTTTTGTTTTGTTCAAAAATATTCTTTTTCAGATAGCATAAATAGAAATTTATGTTTTTGGCTCAGTGCATAGGTTTCGTCTCTCACATAAAAGCTTTAATCCATTTATAGTTGTTTTTCTGATTTTTTTAAAAAAGGGCGGGATGTGCGTATTTACTCAGATATACTCAGATTTGCAAAGAAAAAAGTCAACATTTTCTAGTTTTTAATCTGCTCTTCCTATGGTCCTCCATCCACTTCCATTAAATTGGAGTCAGGCAAGGGATTTAGTACAACTGTCTGTTTCCTTGTTTCTTTGGGTTAAATGTTCAAATTTTCAGACTCCCCTCCGACTCTTTCCCTTATGAAGCTGAATCTGGCCGTGAGAGTGAGGGAGAGGAAGCTCCTAGACCTGGC